CAATGCAGCCAGCATAACGGGGAGCTGTCAGGCCGCCCACATTTTCTACAGTCATTGGTCCACGCTCTTGGCCTACGCACCTGCAATTATTCTACTCACCTGCTGCGCAGGGCGGCGGCTCTGTGTTACTTGTCGCTGGATCGTGGCGCTCGTGTTTCTGTGGATGTCTAACTTGTGTTCTCTTCCCGTGTACAGACCCTACTGGACGCTTCCCTATTTTCCCTTGTCTTTGACGTGAGTTAGGATATTCGTATGTGGACGTCGTGTATCGTACAAAAGAGGAAGTGTGAGGGACTGGCGATTGAGAAGAGGAGTTTTGGACGTGTTCATTTTTCCCTGGATTCCCGGGAGCACTAATTGCTCTGCACTGTTGTTTATAGCGCCTGGTGTCACTGTAAATAAACTCTCTTTAATTAAAACCTTAGTTCTGCGCTAGAGTCCGCTCGTTCACCTTGACAGGATCAGAAATTACAATTTCTTTCAGTTTCTATTCTTGGTCATGGATGGTTTTGTGCGAAACAAACTGACTGAATGGAAACTAAGTGACTGGATTGAGGCATTTGAAGGTAAATTATTACTGTGCATCAGTGATGGGTACAGATATTGATACTTATACGTTTTGTTAACTCTGAAAAATAATACCTATTAATACACATTTTCATATTTACTGCGCAAAATGTGCAAGAGAAGATGTCCTAAGACTGGAAAGTGATACTTGCTTAAAATAAAAGGGAATTAAATGTGTTCAAATCATACATCAATGCAGAACTCCTTTAAAAAAGTGTTTCTGAAGTAATTTTATAAATAATCGTTATTTCTGCTATTTAACTTTATTACAGCTCAAGAAATTGATAAGGAAAGTCTGTATCTTCTCAATGATCAGGAAATTGATCAATTGATCACAAAAGCTGGACCTAGAGTAAAATTCAAGGATAAACTAAAGCTGTTAAAGGTAATTAAATGCTTTAAGATTTCTTTCCTTTTTGTCTGAAAAACCTCACTCGTGTTAAAGTTTACAGATGAATTTGTTGTAGAATTATTATGGTGCACAAACTACTTAACTATCAGTGTGTCTATGATAGCTATATTATTCACATATTTTGCCAATATGGATTTGCCATGTTTTCATTATGTTAGGAAGAGCAAAATACAACTCAACCACAAAAAGAAGCCGTCAATACTTCTGGTCAAGTAAGTCAAAAACAATTTTATTATAGAATAGATAGATAAGGTTTTTAAGTGTGGATAATTAAATAATAGTTTATTGCAATAGTAAATTGTGCCTCAGATGGACAGCAAGTAGAGAGTGATAAATGAGATGAGGAGATGGGCGGAAGAAGAGAGGCAAAGAGTGATTCATAGGCAGAGCCTAGTTTGTTTCTCACAGTTTTGTTGCCTTATGGTTGCTGACATGGCACTTTCACCAATCTTTTTATTATTATCTCATAGCACTTGTTTAATCAGCTACCATCTCTCCTATGGACTTTTTACAGTCTCCAGTTGCAGCTCAACACAGCCCGTTCCTCCTGCACTATCAGGAGCAGGATCAGGATCAGAAGAAACTCCTCAACAGCAACATTGTACCCCATCAGGTAAAACAGTGATATAGTATGATGCGATTCCGTATTAGATTCTTAAAGAATGTGTGTTGTTGTTCAGCCTGGCTCTATGTGCCTGTTTTTAACTTTGAGCACCCGCCCCTTTAAACAGCTCTGCATGGCCCTGGTGGTGGGCGGATCAAACCAAAACATAGATGCCAAAGTTTGTTTTGATATTGATAAATAGGAGCATAATGAGATTGATATTAGTTTCTGTCTTGATACATGCTCAATCATCCAGGTAAGTAAATCCCAAGTTTTCCCAACTATATAAAGTGCAAATGTTTATAAGGTTGGGGAAACCTGCAGTTAGCTGAGACTGAAGAAGTCACTTGGATGAGCGATGAAACGTTTCTCCCACTGAAAACAGTCCAGATGAACAGAATTAACTTTTTGGGATACTGGTTTCTGTTTCTTTGTTACTCCTAGAATCATCAAAGAGGCAACCTAAGGGCAACCTCTATCTAAGTGCTGCTGCTTTCAAGTGTCACAATAACATTTATTGTAATTGAAACAAATATCCCGAATATATCATAACCCCTTTGTGTTAACTGTAAAAGGGATACTGTGCAGTTACTATATTTAAACTACAAGTAGATGTGATACAGACTTCTCATTATATGTTTTCTGTCCTTGGGTTTAATTAATAATCCAAAGAAAAGAAAATCCCCCAAACACTTACAGGTCATGAAAATTCATTCTGATTTAGCAGTTTGATCCACCATCCACCATAATTATTAAAAAGCATCAGTATCTGTATCAGAATCGTTGATACTGGGCCTTTATTTATTTAGTATAAAAGGAATACCAAATCCAGCAGTATCTCACACCACTAATGTGCATGGGGGAAATTCATGAAAGTCCTATTGTGTCACCCTGCAAAAACCACACCCTGCTACATAGTGATAGCAACAGCTGATTTGGATCAGGTAAGGGTTATTGGAAATCAGATAATGAAGCAGCATGCCTTCATTCTTCATAAATATACACTAAGGTGACCTGAGTCAAAGCAAGGCCCCAGTCACACAAGCCTGACCACCCTGCGACTTAAAGTTCTTACAACCTCCACCAACCACTAAACAACTGATGTAGTTGCCTGATGTTGGAATACACATTTTAACCTAACAGCTTTTTTTTTAATCACTGTGCTAGTTGAGAATATATGTAAATATAAGTGTGTACATTTTAAAAAGTGCATGTGAATGTTTTTGACAGTTTGTTAAAGAACAAATTGTTTCTGTACAGGAGCAATGATTTCTTCTGTAAATTCAATTATGCATACATGTACAATTTATAATAATTTAACTTCAAATGTGAAAGTTGAATATTTATATGCTTCCACAGGATTTGCCATCCATAAGTGAAAAAGGTGAGAAAAATGTATCTCACTCTCATTTTAATACATCTAATTTATTTATTTATTTTCACAGTATTATTTTTGCAACATCTAAAATACACCATAATCAGAAGTTTCAATATTCAGATTTTCTTTTTAAATTGTATTATTTTGTTTAAATCCAAAAAGGAAAAAGAAAGTCAGAACTTGAGTTGGGCGAATGGCAACCATCTCCTAAACGACAAGACAACTGTGCAGCAGGATCACAGTCAGGTACACACACATATATGAAATCCTCACACTTATTCCTGCTTTGTGTCACCATTTTTAACTGAGTAGTCAAAATCAGTCAAATCCACAGTAATCTGTCATCCAAGGTCAAGGAAAAAACAATATTTCAGAATCTCCTCTTGTTGGGTTCAGTTAGGATCGTAAGGAGACTGGCAGTGGTAACTCAACTTAAAGAGGGAAAAACCTTCCACTCAGAATGAGACACTGACAACAACTTAAGGAAAAAAGTGACTTGAGTGTATTCAACATTTAAATGGTCCAAAACATAGACATGAACAAACCTTTATCTTCAACAATGTACAACATATCACTTCAAGTGTCCATAAATGTGTCAGGCATGCTGTCCATTTCAGTTCAGTGCACTTTGTGTTCAGTATGTGGTAAGCGTTCAAGTTATTTGAATTGTCTTTAGTCACTGTTTTGCTTTTTGGTGCATCAGGTTTTGTGTTAAGTGGAATCAGATCTGACCCAAAAAGGAAAAAAGTAGCTCATTAAAAAACGTTAATCCTTAAAAAAAAATTACAAATCGTTGTATCCTACCACTCTCCAAGGAAACAGGTGGCCTTCAGATTAAGAACGTCCTTTCTAGGCACCTCTAATGGCATCCAGTCCTTAGATGGCATCGCTCGGTCCTTGCAGCAGATTTCTACTACTTAAAAAAAACAGCCAGGATATTCTTCAAAGAAAACATTAATTCTGTAGCGCAACACGTTGCAGGACTGAATCTCCACACAGCTTTGCGCATCTAGCTCCATGCAGGCGGATGCAGGGAAAGAAAGTCACCACGCACAGCGCTATGGTGCATTCATGGGAAAATGGGAAAACTTAACAAAACAGTAACACTTAAAATTAGAATAAAAATAGAATACAATTGGCAATAAAATAACCATGGGTTACATTTGCATATCAGTGGACCATATTTGCATTACACTGGTTCCAAGTTCCTACTTATTAGGGTTTTTTCTGTTTCTCTGACAGAAACAAAAATACTGTCTGATGTCAAAGACATAATGAGACGTGTCAGTGAAAGACTACATGGCCGTGACAAGCTCAGCGCTTTCCTAAAGTGAGTAATAAAGATTTTCTATTTTTGTTGGATGTTCTTCCAACCATTTCCCGGGAAGTTGGGACAGTCTGTAACATTTTGCTGGTATTTGGTATAATAAACATACTAAAGATTTAAACTCGGTCAGAGCTCAGCATGGAGCTGTGTAGTTTGTTCCAGTAGTAAGTTGAATTTTTTCAACACATTTTAAAAAAACAATTTTTTTCTGATTTTACTGCATTTTCAGTTTGATATTTCTGAGAATGGGTCAGTTAATCCATATTTAAACCCGTTCAACAGGGATAAAATTGAAGATTTGGAGACAGAAAAGAGACACCTGGTTGGGGCTGGAAAGAGCTCTTTAATCAATGCCATCATGAATAAGGAGGGCCTGTTGCCTTCTGGAAGTGTCAGTGCATGTACCTCAGTAATGATAAAGGTGGAGGCTACAAATGGATCAAAGTATGAGGCACACATCGAGTTCATTACAAAAGAGGTAGAATGAAATATGAATATGGTGATTTTTGAAGTAATGTGTTACAATGTAGATACAAAAACTGCTTTACTAAAATTAAGATATAATCTTTTTTAGGATTGGGAAAATGAGGTGCAGTCCCTAAAACTGGCTCTTGAAGAAGATGATGATGATGATGGTGGTAATGATGATTGTCTTGACCCTGATGGAAAGTTATCAGCGCTGTATGGAGAAGAGTGGAAAGAAAATCAACTCACAGCCTCATGGACAACAAATATTTCAGAGATATTCCAGAGTTTCTGAAGCCCAAGATAAAAATTTTGGAAAGTGACTCAGTAAGTCTGCAGTAATACAGGCCAAAATAAAATCTGGTTCTTCTTCTAGAACAAAGGAATACTTGCAGTTTAAAGCATATATTAGACCAGGGGTCCCCAACCTTTTTTGCGCCACGGACCGGTTTATGCCCGACAATATTTTCATGGACCGGCCTTTAAGGTGTTGCGGATAAATACAACAAAATAAAACTAATACCGGTACTGAAAAAAAGAAGATTTATTCATAACACACGTGAAAAGATCCAGGAAAACCGAGTTAACGATAAAAACGATAACAAAATAACGCTGAAAACCGATAAAAACCCTGAAAACCATACATTTCACACCTGAGCCTCAACTCTCGCGGCCCGGTACCGGTCCGAGGCCCGGGGGTTGGGGACCACTGTATTAGACCACAGTTTGGGTGAGATACATAGCAGTGTGTGGCTTATGAACATCACATAATGAGCAGTCAATAGTTACCCAAGCAGCGTTAAGCTACCCTGATGCTGCACCTTTGCAGCAGGAAGATGTCCACGCTATGTAATGCCACCCTAATGGAGAGTGCAGACAGAGACAAAGCACTGGTGAAGCAGATGTTGCTGTAGTTTATTGCTGAGCAGATATATGTCGGCGATATGTCGATGTGCCTCATTTCCAAAATGTTTGACATCCATCAAACAAGAAACAAAAAAACAAGTGAAATTGTGGTGGTTAAAATTTTATGGTTTACTATCCTGTTGCTGTCTGATTATCCTGTTACCATGGAGCTTGCAGTTTTCTTTGTGGAGGTGTTGAAGAGTTTCACATTTGTAAAGCTGATCTTCGATGCATCCATCAGAGAATGAATGTGTGTAAATGTTAGCTAGAAATAACATACCCAGAAAAAGTGCTTGGGGTAATGAGGCAAGTTTTATAAAGTGCTTCAAATGTTTACATGCAGTAGAAGAAATCACTATATAAGAACCAGGCCACTTACTGTGATCCACAGTAAAATATAAAAAAGGTTTATTTTCTTTCTTTCTTTCTTTCTTTCTTTCTTTCTTTCTTTCTTTCTTTCTTTCTTTCTTTTTAAATAAAAAATCTAATTACTTTGGATTTATTTTCCTGGTTTTCATTTCAGATTTTTGAGATAGGATGTCTTATTTTAATTTCCCATCTTCTTTTTCATGCAATCATTAAAACCTTTGTTATGGGCACATACATTCAATTGGCTTATATTTATCTTGTTTGTTTGTTTTTGCAGGCTGAAGGGTTGTCTGAAGAATTTGTGAGATATACAAGAAGTGAGTCAAATGAGACAGAAGAAGTAAAGAGGTGGTACTGGCCACTTGTGAAGTGTGTGACTGTCAAAGTGCCAGACAATGATTTTCTTGATCATGTCACACTCGTGGACCTTCCTGGAAACGGTGACTTTAACAGAAGCAGAGATCAAATGTGGAAAGAGGTAATTCACAGAAGTCATGTTATCTTTCTTCAAAGCATTATTTATTTATAATTTACATGTATTCATTTCCTTTTCAGTTTATTGCCAGTTGTTCTACAGTTTGGATTGTGACTGAAATGACTCGAGCAGCATCAGAAAGCGAAGCCTGGGACATCCTGGAAGGTGCCAGCAGCCTGCTGGGAAATGGTGGCGAGTGTCAGCAAATTCATTTTATCTGCACCAAGTCAGATCATGAAAAACCAGATGATATGTAAGTCAAATATACAAAAAAATCAAATTACAAAGAAAGTTTGGCACAGATAGTTACAGATACACATGGTGACCATACACTTCACTTTTTTGTTGCTTTGTTGTTTAAAAGTCATTATTAAAAGTTATACATTTAAAAAAAATCTATGTATACGTGTTTTAATAAGTTTCTAATTAGATAAATACTGTTGTAGAAATTTAATTAACAAAGTCCACAGACACATTCGGCTGTAATGAACATTCGTTATTATCATGCGCATGAGAGAGAGCACACGCAGTCAGGCGCCGTGCAGCTCTCACACCTTTATTTATTCCCCAAAAAAGTGAGGAAGTCCGAAAGTGATCATACAGCACATGACGCAGCTCGCTCTGAAACCTAACTGAACAATGCGTATCCTGTTTCATGCTCTTGGCATTATGACCACCTGCAAAAGGAGTTATTTTTCAACTACTGAGGCTGAAATAAGTTCATCTAGTTTTAGACTGCTCAGTGGAAGTTTTCATTACGGTGCCACAACTAAGTATGCACACAAATGCTTGAACCTTAAATAAGAATAATTGAAATTTTCCATTACAATACTAACAATAAATTACTTTTACATCCAATTTTTATTTCCTTTCTAAAAGAAACAAAGTCAAGAAAGCAGTGATGAAGGAATTTAAAAAGCGGAAAACGATTACGGTAAATTTACAATCTGACAGCAAAATCTAAAACAATTATTTTCTTAAACAGTCCAAAAATAAAAACTGACTAACAAAAATGTTCTCAGAATCACTTCAGTGAGGATAGTTTCCAAGTCTTCACAGTGAGCTCCAAAGAGTTCCTCAAAGGGGAGAATGTAAATCCAGATGTCAATGGTAGGTGAAGTCACTACCGGTGATGGTATGTTTTTGTGTAACAGAAAATGTATTGCTCAGATTTATATTTCTTTTTCAATTTATAACAGAAATACTGAAACTCAAGGAAATTTTGAAAAATCTAAATGACGCTCATTCAGAGACCTCAAACTATGTGTCTGGAGCTCATGGGATTCTGTCTTTGATTCAAGGAGCCAAAAGCAGAGAAGTGGTAAGATCAGGCAATAAAGCCTCATTCATAATCTTCTTAAAGGTCATAAAATAAAAATGTTCATAAAATGTTCACTAAAGTTTACTAACATATATTGTAAGACATGCTGACCTTCACTGAAAATGTGGGATACTGGACATCATAAATCTATATGTGGTAATTTATTATTAGTGATTGAAAGAGGAGAGAGATTATTTGGAAGAACTGAATATTATTTATTGAGATACAGAATTTAATTAAATAGTTATTTACCAATGAGACTCCAGTGAACCAATGAGAGCACAGAAATGATGGGAGTTAGGACAGGACCCCGAGAGTCTAGATTGTTGGGGTAGTGAAGATGGTAGTTTGGATGGGGCTCTGAGTAGGGGTGGGTTTTGATTATCGATTTATCGATTAAAATTGATTCTCGCTTGGATAACGTGATATCGATTCATTAAAATCCTGAATCGATTTTTTAATATAATTTTATTTTGCCCGAAATGCCAGAATCTCAGCTTAAACCTCACAAAATTTCTACAACCACCAAACAGCTAAAACAGTAAATGAGAGCAGGAACACGAATTCTGCACAAAGACGTAAACACAAAGCCCGGAGCCTCCGACGGATCAGAATCAGTGAGATGTCGCCTTTCTCACCCGACGGCCCGGACACAGTCGGGGCTGAAAGCCGACAGCTCGCTGATTCTGATCCGTCGGCGGGTCCACGCTTTGTGTTTATGCCCTTTTTGTCCTGATTCTGAAGCTGCAGCTTTTATCTCTCTCCAAACAATATTGACCGAACCAGCAGCAAAAGAAGCAGCAAACTACGCTTCATATAAACATCGTCATGAATTCCCTCTTATTGTTATGCTGCCACCTCGATAAAATCACACTACATGCACAGCTCTCTCTCTCTCTCTCTCTCTCTCTGTACTTCAAGATCAGTTTCCCGTCTAAAAATCTTTTTTCTGCATTATTCGCTTGCTTGTTATGCACAAATCTACCGTTGTTTACAGCGCTGTCGGCTGCTGTTTTTTCCTAACTTCTGAAAAGAAAGCCTCATTTCTGCTGTTGAATGCTGAACAAATTTAAACTTTTTAAAATTATGCAAAATTGCAAAATGCTCAGCTGTGTCTCTAATAAATCTCTGCTTTATGTCAGCAGCATCACGTAATGTTCATATGGTTATTAATGGTTTTGTTTCGTTTTTGATCTACTGCAGAATATTTTTATAAGATCCAGGGCCAGGAAAATCACCTTCATGTTTTTCTGTGTTTTATCCTCAACTACTTTGACACAAAGGCATCTGCTGTGACGCTCACACCTTTGATTATGTCTCACAAGTGTCACATTTCTTTTTATAGATATAAAAATATAGAAATGTACTGATGCATGATCTGAATTATGTCTGAGGCAAAATTTCCCGATTCAAATTGAATCAAATCGAATTGAATCGAATTGTGGATTGAATCGATTCGGGACCTTGTGAATCGGAATCGAATCGATTCTAGAAATGAGTGACGATACCCAGCCCTAGCTCTGAGTGAAGAGTGAGGTGAAGATGGGGAGGAGGCGAGTTGCATGGATAAGTCTGTAAGGCAGAATGACAGAGAGCATATAAAAGCACAGAGAATAGAGACTGATTGGCCTGCAGAAGGCAAAAAAAAAAAAAAAATCATTGGACTAGAGTCTAGAGTAAACTTGGGTTTGTCAAGACCGCCTCAAAAGCGAGTAGAGAGCCATTATGTGATGTTTTGCTGCTTTAAATAATGATCTTTCTTGTTTTTCAGGTTGAACAAAAAAACGAGGTGTGTGCAGTCCTTGAGGGAAACTTGAGCATCCAACTTAATCGAGTCAAAAAAGCAATTGAAGACATTACAAAAGCTTTTGAACAACACCTACGTGACGGAGTTGAAAAATCCCAAAATTTGTGTGAAAGAAAACTGAAGTCCTTCTTATACCCCAGTGTATGTGTTTTAATTACAACTGGAACAAGACCTAAGGATACTTTGTGACCATGTGTTTAAAAAAAGTTTTTAAAAATTCTGTTTTGTTTCAGAAAACGAGTGGCGGAGCTTTTCACATGACGCTAAAGTTTGCAGTTAGGAATGATGGCATCCAGAAACCAAAAAAAGGGAAGCGAAAAGACCTCAACATGATATTAGCGTCTTGTTTGACTGAAAGCATTGATGAAAAATTCAGAAAGACCTTCCCGTGAGAATAATCTAATTCTGAACAGCATCAATATGTACAACAATACATGTATCCAAATTGCACTATATCATAAACTTGCTAATACTGCTATTATAAACCACATCTTTGCCCCATTCAGAAACGACCTAAAATGTGGAAATTTCAATGGGGCCATTGATGCGTTTTCACTCAGCACTGATTCACTGATTGAAAAGTACAAAAATGTCGAACTGCAACTGACATTTCTCCAGACCGAGGTAAAAGAACTTCCCTATCCATGAACCTGTTAGCTTAGCTATTATTAGAAAGTCATTCAAACACTGAACTTGTGTTATTTTACCTTAATGCTGTTTTAAATAATGTTAATCTGTATTTCATGTTTCTAAGGAAAACAAAATGAAGACAAAGCTCAACAAAATCATCCTCACACAAAAGAAATTGATCTACAACAGTCTGACAGAGACAATCAAGAATAACATGAAAGGATGCTACGAAGGTAAGAAAGAGGTGAATTACCTTATTTTTTGCACTATAAGGCACACTTAAAATCCTTTAATTTCTCAAAAATCCGGTGCGCCTTATGTATGAATTCTGGTTGTGCTTACTGACCTCCAACCGTTTCATGTGGTACACGGCATTCAAAAATCTGTCAAAAATGTTTTAGTACGACTTTGGTAAGCAAGGAAGCCGCACCCCTTGATGGATTGTCGGAACATTGCGGCTACCATAGTCAGAATAATCCCAGTCGTAATCCGTTTAACATCCAGACATCCATGAAAACAAAATTTATTAAATTTAACTGGGTTAGAAGCTAGCAGGACGTTAGCTCACTAGTTTCCACCTAAATATGATATACCATGTTCTGACTGAGAGATTTCTCAAAAAATTAAAACGTACAGCTCTGCTATCACTTCAGACATAAATGAAGAGAGAAAACTAAACAGCAGTGACTTTTGTAAGGTTACTGAATGTTGAGAAGTGTTAGGTGAGGGCTAGTTCTTTTAGGTTTAGCAGCTAACAAGATGGTGTATCGGTCAGGATACAGGAAGGAGGACAAGACACTTCCACTTTGCTGGATTGTCACCGCCGGCCATTTTATCGCCAACAGATGCTCAGTGTTGCCAGCAGTCTGTAGTAACAAATAAATTGCCATGAGACTGAATATATTACAGCAGCAGCTAAACTAATATAAACTCAAAAATATCCAATGAAATAAACCAACACATCCACATCTAATGGAAGACAACACACTGCTCACTAGACCATTTTACACTTTTATTACTTCCAGAAGGGAGATGCGTCCTACATGACACTGCAGTGAATCTCCAAATGGCAGTGTGTGCTTAACAGTTTTATTACAGTCTGTCTCACTCTAGTCTAAACCACAGTATTCTAGTACATTTCCACTGAGAGATGATTCCCTGTTATCTACTTCTACAGACAAGTGTGGGCGAGAGTCTCCAACATTCTACCACTAAAGGACACGTAGTCTAATGCCTTTATTATCAGGGCCGTGTCCACTTAATACTATACTATACAGTTATATGACATTTTGGTTAATATAAAGCATAGCATTGAGGCGCTTCAGGTAATTTTCATTTTCACATTTCACATACGAAAGTGGAGGAAGCAAGAAGAATGAGTTGAGTAAAGTTTGACTTATCTTACTGTTTTGTTTTGCTTAATGCGCCTTATGATCCGATGCGTCTTATGGTTAGAAAAATTCGGTATTTCTATTCAACTGTGCATGAAAATGATTGTCTCCTTGTAGAAGCAGCAGCATTTGAAGGACCAGGCACCCAGAAGAGGATGAGGGACACTATTGAGAGACATGTGGAGTCAAAGATGGACATGTTTGAAAAGGCAAAAAATGCCATGTTGGAGCAGTTGAACGATTTGAAGGTTTTTTGTTTTTTTTCAAGCAGTCTTGAAACATATCAAACCAATAATTTATCTCTTGTCCAGTTATTCTTGGATTCAATAGTTGCCTATTTAAAAAGTAACAAATGTTTTGATGATAAATTAGGAAACTGTCCTGAGGACACTGGAGGAAACCATGGAGGATTCCATTGAACACTCACTCAAGACTGAGGCCTGCTTACTGCCAGGTAAACAGAATATATAAAGTGTTAGGAATCCTCACAATACAAACACTAACAATAAATATTTAATAAAAACAAATACTTTGTTTTTAGATGTTTTGGAAGATCTTGAGATGGTGAAGAAACACTGTGATGAACTTAATGGCGATCAAGATGAAAAAAAGTAACCACACTGGGTAAATCTTAAAATGTCACAAATTGTTTAAAAGGCTGTGATCATGAACTATTTTTCTGATCATTTTGAACAATGTTTTTAGTGCTGTTAGCATTAATCATGTTAATACACGTCATCAAAGTTAACACGATAAACATTTTTAATGCACTCAACCCATCTGTAGTGCAGAATAGACAAATTTCGGACAAACTGCCTGAAATGCGTTGACAGAAACATTCAGAGGATTTTGAGTCAGAGTGTTCTCCAGATGAGTTAATTATTAATCGTGTTAGTCGTGATGACGGCGTTAGCGTGAACTTCTAACCCCTCACAGGGACTAATCTTCGTTAACTCGTTAACGGGGATTTGCCAGTTTTGACGTGTTAACATGGATCGGTTCACGTTAACGAGATTAACGGTGACAGCACTGGTTTTTATTTAAATTTAACTGATCCATCCAGCACCCATTTTTCATTTGCTCTACAGAAACAGCTGAGGCCTGATAACCCACAGGACATCCCTGAGGAAACACTGATTAGAGACACGAGGTCTTTACATATTATCACAGTAATATTTGTTTTGCTCTCTTTTAATGTTGTGTTGATGTGTACTTTTGACTTTTTAATGAATTTTATACAAAAAGCATCTTGAATATTATAGATATCAATTAAAACTGCTAATATTAAGGTGTTAATCACGAGTGTCTAAATCATGTTTTGATTTCTTTCTTTTTAAAAATTTGTTGTAGTTTTTAATCACTTATAGCAGAGCGTGAAGACATGTAATGCATTCTCCATTCAAACCTGAGATTTATGGTTTTAATTGTAAGAGTCTGAGATTACAATTTCCAAAAGCATTTTGATTTTTTTGCTTGTTTTAAATATCATAATTTAATGTTTTAAGTTGACGTGTATACTGTTGGTTCATTGGGACGGGAACGTTTATTTTAATGTAAGTGTTTATCAGTTAAACATTGAGCCTCATCCAGCACTGAAAAGGTACCAATTTTACATCACAGTTCTAATGACAAATACTTGTTTGTTGCAGTTATACAATATGTGTACATGACAAATAGTGAGAAATGGCTCTAAGTAAAGCTGTAGGAAATCATCAGCTACTTCTGTCATCTCCCTGCCATTTTGCTTTTTCTGGGTTTGGAATTATTGGTGAATATATTACAGTTTGAGTTTAGGTTCAGGTTGTTTCTTTGTTATTTTTTGTTACGTTAAATGTTTAAAATTTTAATTACTTCTGTGCATATTGTTAAATTCCTGTTTTGATTTTTGTCTTCAGTAATTCTCTCGTGTTTCTTCCACCCACCATACTTTATTTCTTCCTGTAACAGTTCATTCACGTTTAGCATTTACTGTCATGTTTCCTGTAACCTTAGTAATGTCATTACAAAAAGGTACTAAGGTGCTTCCTTTATTACACTGGTGATACAAAGATATTTATATCTCATAATTTTAAGTGACCATACAGTTGTTGAAGAAAAAGATGAACCAAACTGAGATTGTTGCATAGAGCATTTAAATGTTAATTAATGCAGCACACTGTGATGCAGCTAGTATATCATTTAGTTTTCTTGCTTCATCTGTACTGATTCTAAAAGAATGCATGCATTTGATATTGTATACTGTTCAATAAATCTTACGTGCAAGCAAATATTTATTGTAATCATTAGATAGGAAATTTGTTTTTAACCCAGATCTTTTTACCCTAAAATCACCAAAAAATTGATTGCATTGCGTGACAAACATACAGTGGTGTGAAAAAGTGTTTACTCCTTTCCTGATTTCCTATTTTTGTGTTTGTCATACTTCAGTGTTTCAGAACAGCAAACAAATTTACAAATCAAACAAAAATAATACTAGTAAAGACAAAATGGAGTTTCTAAATGAAGATCCCAAAAGGTTGATTCTGTTCATCTGGACGTAGCGTCAGAGGGAGAAACATCCTTATCCAAGTGACTTCTTCAGTCTCAGCTGACTGCAGGTTTCTCCAACCTTATAAACAGCACATTGCACAAGGACTGAAACTAGCCCACTGAATAAACAATGGACTGCGAGGTCAGTTTCTTGATCATTAATATGCAAATTGTCATGACCATTGATTAGTTGCCTTGAGTACCAATCACAGACTTTGGGAATGTCTACAATCACAGCATTGTAAGATGGCAAAAGATGTACCCTTATACCCCCTCCTCGATTCAGAGATGATCTTTGCCTTTTCACGTAAATGCCCTCCTCAACTCCCCATTCAAACCAGCGTTCCTTCCTAAATCCCCCGTTTGAGGATTTGAAACATTAAAATGTGACAAACATACAAGAAAAAAAAAATCAGGTAGGTGACAAATACGTTTTCACACTACTGTAGTTTTAAACACTACACAAAAATTACTCTACAATCTAAAACTAAAGACATTTTCTGTATATTAGTATTTTATTTTTGTCCTTATTATATTTTATTTATGATGTTTTACATAGTTTGTGTAAATACAGTAAATTATTTTTAGAGATTTTTGAAAAATAAACATGGCCACTGTTAATATTTGGCTTTATTACATTATAATAGGCCAGAATTAAATATCTAAGTAGGATCCTTGTTTGAAACCATGCTGAACGTATTTACTGGGTCATGAAACATCGGTAAAGCAAACAACAGAAAAGAAGCTCATGTCAAAAACTTATGGCTAAGTTATAGTTAGGTTAGTTTAGCTAGGTTATAATTTAACTGTATTGTGAATTAAATTCAATGAAAATTTAAATAATTTCAGATTTTATTCTGGACATTGAAGAAAAAAGACAATCTGACATTTTAAATGAAATAAATCATCCTTTAAAAGACACACACAGCAATGTGGGAGAAAAACATCAATGCTGAATGCTACAAGTGCACAAATATGAAGTCAGCGTGGTGCTGCAGTGAACGCATCAGTTCACACAATATTTCAGAAATACTATTTCATTAAAATGTCCATTTACAAGACCAAATGTCTTGGTCTTGTAAATTTATTTTTCTACAGTCATTTCTGAAACAAAGTCCACACTGAATGCCGGCTGTGCATCTGTGGTCGTGTGAAGCTACATTAATGTAACAGCATGCCAGAGTGTAAACACAGATATTTATCCTTTTTCCGTTTCATTAGGCATTTAAACCAAATACTAAAACACCCTGATACGACTCAGACTTGGAGTACTATACATTTTATAGTACACTTAGCATAAAGAACAAAACAATGCACGAACTGGTAATTAAAGCCCTTGAAGGAATAAATCATATACATTAAAATATTGTATTTTCAGAACAACTACATTATGTGACTGTCTGTGTGCAACTTACAGCTATAAGCACTTGATATTAAATATATGCATGCTAAAACATGACAGACAACAAAGGCAGAGTACTCAGGCACAGAAATGTTTTTACGTGTTTTCAATTGAGCTTCTTGTGGCTTACATTTAACTACAGCTACTTATTCTTTTCTTCATCATAACAATCAGCTGTTGAAACTAATAATTTCGGTGAGTAGCAACAGTGACCAACAGAAACCAACAGCGCTGTGATCGTGTTTTTGTGTGTGAATACATTCGTGTGAATTTCCAAAGCTAACTGAAGGACAATCATGTGGTTAGCAGGTCACAGGTCGGGGCATGTTGTGTCATGCTTTAGCCCAGCGAGTGTTGCTTCTTCAGGTTCTCTGTGCGCTTCACCCTCTCCTCTGGGGTCTTTCTGTACCAGCTCCTAAGAGAAAAAAGTCACACTGTGGTGACTTTAAATACGTCAAAAGCAGGGTGTGTCTGAAGACTGCTACTTTTATTAATATGTGACAAATGATTTTACAATTCTAATTAATTAATAGAAAAAAACGTTTAAATCTTGGTGTCCAATGCACTGAGAAAGAATGATTATCTAGAAAATGACTTCAGGAAATGGTTGTGTTATAAAGTTGTTTTACAATCTGGACCAGTACAGACTTGCCCCTGACGGTTAAGTTGTCCTGGGGGCACAAACTGTTTGTCCTTGGCTTGGCTTCAAGATTCCAGGAAAGGGATACTAAATGTATGTAAATAACTTCTGGGGAATATAATCCAGAAATTACATAGAGGGAAACACAAAATGAATTAAAAAGTAATAAAATCCCACAGCCGTGTCCCACACCTGTTGGTAGCGGGGCATCTGGCTTCTGCTGCATCTTTCTAGTCTGTGCTGGAGATTCACCAACCCTAAAGAAGTACCACATGCACCACTGATCACTGGATCTCAGCAGCATTAATGTAAAACATGTGTTTCTATTTCTATGTCTTACTACTTTTTCCTGTCTAGAGACCTCTGTGTGGTAGCAGAAAGAGCCACTCTCTCTTTGGTGCACTTGGCTTTCTCCTGTAGGAGTGAATGTAGTTTATAGTTCATGAAAAAATATTCAGAATACTGAAGATGTCAGTGATCTTATCTTTTTTCCTTTTCATAAGGCATTTTAACCAAATACTAAAACACTTTGATATGACTCAAAGAACTGAAAACCAGTGTTGGGTAAGTTATTTTAAATTAATAACTTAGTTACATTACTAGTTACTTCTATCAAAAGTAACTCAGTTACTTCAAGTTACTCGGTACTTTCAAAGTAACTAGTTACTAGGGAAAGTAACTTTGGTTTTACTCAGAATTCTTGTATTGATGTGTTGCTTCCCTAACTGGATACCCAGCAAGGATGCCAGTCTTCTAGCTTGCTTACATGTTAGCACTGTCTAGCCACAATTGCACTGTGCCACCTACCAACAGAAAGGAAAAAATAATGTGCATATTACCACGAGAGAAATCCCAGGCCTGGACCGTCGTCGACTTCTGCCATGATTCTAGCCTACGTCACAGCATCACGTGTGCTTTTTACGTCCAACACGGAAACTGCAGTCGTGGTACTTTTGATTGTACTCGGTACTCGGAAATTCTGCCTTCCGAGTAGGAAGATGTAGGTAACTCCAGACTGCAGATGAGCTGCATACAGGGCTGGACTGGGACAAAAAATCAGCCTGGGCATTTTGATTAGAGACCAGCCCACCACTATAATAAAAACCTTTGAATGAAAACAAACACCGTTGTCACAGTGATGTACACTGTCTTGTTGGTATATATGTATCAGTCTAATAAACTTAAACCTACACCATCCTCCCTATTCTGGTATTCGAAACAGTACTTCGCTGAAACCCGAAGCCTGCTTGGTCGCGTTAACCTCTTGAACTATCTACAACACATGGTGGAAACCTGAAATTAAGACAGAGGAGACTAAGAGGTGAGACATGATCATTACTGAATATTAAAAATAATAACTGACAGATTTAGTGATATTTTCATAAACTATTTATTTACCACATCAATTAACAGCATGGCAGGGCAAAATGTTTTTTCTAACATGGCAACCTTTAAAAAGTGAAAGGAGACAGAAGGTGAGGAAGAATAACACTTCATTGACTTTTTGATGGCATTTTACACACAGTACTGGTACAGAATCTAGAAAATGTGGGACATATACAACATATACAGTACTTACTTCTGAAGAAATTATAATGGGACCCTGAAAAAAATGACTATGTACAATAATGGATATCTATACATTTTACAACTGATGAAAACATTGGTTGTAAGGTTCAGGTAATTATTTATTAAAAGCTTGACATTTTAAATGAGAATAAGAAAGAAAAGTATTTCTTTTTGCTCCCTTTTCCCTGTTAATGCATTACCTGTCCCCAATGGCAAAACTTTGGTAGAGCTGCCTCTGCACAGTTACCAGTTGTCAGCTACAGAGGATCCTGGTGTTATTTGTCTCTCAGAAACAGTTCACAACTTCCCTTCAACTCATTCATGTCACCTAAAAGGTAAACTTGTTTCTCCATCACCTGTTCAGCTCTGATGATTCAGTAAGGACATCTCCTGGTTTCATCTTCATGTTTCCCTCTCACCACATATCCAAACCGATATCATGACCATTTCTGAAACAAAGTCCACACTGAAGGCCTGCTGTACATCTGTGTTTGTGTGAAGCTACATTAATGTAACAGGATGCCAGTGTGTAAACAAATATCTTTATTTATATGTCGAAAACAGGTTTGTCTAAAGACTGCTACTTTTATTAATATGTGATTAAGATGTTGTTAGATTTGTAATTAATTATCAAACAGCAACAAAAAAGAAACATTTAAAGCTTTGTGGAAACTGAGCTGGGAAAGAATGGTTATCCAGAAAATTACATCAAGCAATGGGGAGGGATGCAGCAGATTTTGTGGATGCAGCTGATGGCAACATCAATGAACTCACAGACTCTGTCATTGGATATATTGGAAAGTGCATGGATCATACCATCACAAAAACCACTGTCTGCATATATCCAAATCAGAAACCCTGGGTAAATAAAGATGTTCGCGCCAAGCTAAAAGTGCAGACCTCTGCCTTTAACTCCGGGGATGCTGATGCATATAAAGCAGCCAGGTATGACCCCCGAAAGTTCATAAAAAAGGCCAGAAAGGACTGCAGGGACAAAATGGAGTCCAGCTACCACAGCTTTGACACCAGGCGACTGTGGAATGGACTGCGCTGCATCA